CGTCCACGTATGCATGCATGTGTGCATTTACATGCAGCGTCCTCATATAGAGAGTCTCTGAAACACACTTCAAACATTAAACCTAGTCAAGTGCTCAAGCGCCTGCGGACGTGAAGGGCTCTTGCTAACACAAGAGTAATCCAAGCTTACATTCAGTGCTAAACCAGACCGCTCGACTCTGTGCATCCCAATCACTCGTTCATCAGTTCACACACGTCCGTTCTGCCCTTAATGCTGAGCCCAGGGATGTTTGTCTCCTTGAGCTGAGCTTAAACGCCGTATGAAGAGAACGCAGGTAACCAAAATGAGTCCGAACCCCCGTTACGAACATCTTCATCATCAACACTTCTCTCAGAGAGCTTTTCTGCACCTCTTAGTATCAAAACTGCTTTTTTTTTTAGATCCTGCTGGATCATCCATAGAGATTGAGATAGAGATTAATTGGGTTCTCAGTTGTTTCATTTACAGTATCAACTCTGTCTCTCCTAAAATAGTACTAATTTCATCTTGTAGCTGTATAGAAGCAAATGAGATAGAGACCATTTTTTGCTCAATGTTCAATTTGGCTTTTATTGTTGCTATTTTTTTTTTTTATCTTCTATTGTTCAGATGAACGGGTATAAAATACATCAGGAAATATTTGAAATAATAATGCACTGAACAGTATTTCTGACACTCGCTGGAATCCTTTTTTTTAGATTTGTAACATTGCATAACACACTCTCAATCAGCAGGAATGGATGTACTGTACGACAGGTGCAGAATGAACTCCAAAATCATCTAACCCTAATCTAGTCACATTAATCTTCCCTAGCTGAGGGTCCATCAAAGGTCAAAACTTCTCAAAATCGAATGAATCAACATTCAGTTAGTTTGGGTTGAGGTTGGTGCACCTGTACTGCAGATCTCTGATGAATGCTTGATTGTTTTAGTTGTGTTTTAGAGTGTTCTAAAGCATGCCGGTTTACTCTGGAGAGCAGTAGAGTTTCCAGCATGTGCAGCAGTTGAAGCTTGCAGGAGAAGCTGAATGAGAGAATCGGAGGCATATGGACTCAGCAGCTGAATGTTTGTCCCTGCTGGTTTGAGCTCAAATCTGTGTCGAACCCAACTCTGAAGTTTTTGATGTTGACCTAAATAACATCTAGATCTACAATCTAGATCATTTGAGCTACTTTTAAAGTTTGAAAGCTGAAAGTGGCCCGTTTGTGCAACTTGTGTAATAGATTTGAGGAGTTTAAAAGCATATTTTCTCCTACTATGGAAATGTTTCACATAGTTTGACCATAAAGTGTCCAAATGATTGTTTTGGCTTCATTTTGAATAATATATCTTAATATATCTATGTCTTTTTTTAGGTTGGGTAATATATTATATGACATACCATTTGCATAATAGTCTGTGGCAATGTTTCCATTTATCAGTATATAATGACTGAAAAGTGAACGAATGTCGACGTTCATATTCCATGGGATTTATTGGGTTCTCAGTTATGTTTTTTAAGTATTTAAGTATCAACTTTGTTTCACGTTTCTCCTATAACAGAACTATGGAATTAATGTAGGTAACATGACTTAATCTTATAGCTGTATAAAAACAACTGTGATATTGCATTACATTGCATCACTTGTTCACCAGTGGATCCTCTGCAGTGAATGGGTGCCATCAGAGTGAGAGTCCAAACAGCTGATAAAAACATCACAATAATCCACAAGTAATCTACTCCAGTCCAGCAATTGGTGAAGTGAAAAGGTGTGTGTTTGTAAGAAACACACATCAAGATGTTTTTAACTTCAGACCATTGCTTCTGGCTAAAATACGAGTCCATAATCCAAAATAGCGTTTCCTCCAGTGAAAAGGTGCATCTCCTCTCACATCAAAATCCACACACGTTTGTTTAGAACTATTTAAGCTTGTAAACAGTGCTTGATATGTGCATATTTCTCTCCTGATTCAGACAAGATTACTTTTTCACTGGAGAAAACTATTTTATGGATTATGGACTCACATTTTAGCTGAGAGCAATGGTTTGAAGTTAAAAACATCTTGATGGATTTTTTTTCATACAAACACGCTGTTTTTCTCTTCACAAGATGTTAACTGCTGGACTGGAGTGGAGTGGATTGCTTGTGGATTATTGTGATGTTTTTATCAGCTGTTTGGACTCTCATTCTGACGGCACCCATTCACTGCAGAGCATCCATTGCTGAACAAGTGATGCAATGCTACATTTCTTCAAATCTGTTCCCATGAAGAAACAAACTCATCTACATTTTCAGCAAATTGCCATTTTTGGATGAACTTCAAATAGATGTAATGTGTGAATTTTCTTATGGGATATAGAGTGTTTTACATGGTTTGACAACCATTAAGTGTCCAAATTACTTTTTTTTTTTTTTTTTTACATGCATGTCTTAATTTTGAACCATATAGCTTTTGCTTTTTAATTTGAAAATCAATTGAATTGTCTTCAAGTCTACTTTACTTTTTATGAAACAAAGTGTCACTGTACAGTGCATTTACATTTATTCATTTAGCAGATGCTTTTATCTGAACGCTTACAAAGAGAACAGAAGGTGGGCAAGCAATAAGTCTATTTAACAGTTATCTGATGTGACCTTCAACTATCAAAATGAAACTTGCTCTTATAAATTCCAGCGTCTAGTTTCATCATTTAAAACTCATGACGTGGGTTATTTACAAATGTTCTTGCCTTTCACTCGCCCTTTAGGTGCAGATGAGCATTCGGTGTGCGTGTGTGTGTGGATGTGTGTGTGTGTGAGAGAAGCGGTCGATCCTTCTGCTCACCCCCTGCAGCGCCGATGATAACAGCGACAGCAGAAACATGACGTCCGTTCCAGTCAGCTGGGAATGAGAGTTCATCCTTAAGAAAGGAGGGGTCAAGACGTCAGAGCGGCCATTGCACTGCTTAAAAACACGCTGTATGTGTGTGTTTGCTCTTGAACGCACGTCCACGTATGCATGCATGTGTGCATTTACATGCAGCGTCCTCATATAGAGAGTCTCTGAAACACACTTCAAACATTAAACCTAGTCAAGTGCTCAAGCGCCTGCGGACGTGAAGGGCTCTTGCTAACACAAGAGTAATCCAAGCTTACATTCAGTGCTAAACCAGACCGCTCGACTCTGTGCATCCCAATCACTCGTTCATCAGTTCACACACGTCCGTTCTGCCCTTAATGCTGAGCCCAGGGATGTTTGTCTCCTTGAGCTGAGCTTAAACGCCGTATGAAGAGAACGCAGGTAACCAAAATGAGTCCGAACCCCCGTTACGAACATCTTCATCATCAACACTTCTCTCAGAGAGCTTTTCTGCACCTCTTAGTATCAAAACGGCTTTTTTTTAGATCCTGCTGGATCATCCATAGAGATTGAGATAGAGATTAATTGTAATGCTGAGCCCAGGGATGTTTGTCTCCTTGAGCTGAGCTTAAACGCCGTATGAAGAGAACGCAGGTAACCAAAATGAGTCCGAACCCCCGTTACGAACATCTTCATCATCAACACTTCTCTCAGAGAGCTTTTCTGCACCTCTTAGTATCAAAACTGCTTTTTTTTTTAGATCCTGCTGGATCATCCATAGAGATTGAGATAGAGATTAATTGGGTTCTCAGTTGTTTCATTTACAGTATCAACTCTGTCTCTCCTAAAATAGTACTAATTTCATCTTGTAGCTGTATAGAAGCAAATGAGATAGAGACCATTTTTTGCTCAATGTTCAATTTGGCTTTTATTGTTGCTATTTTGACATTCTCAAAAGTTTCACTGCTGTCTAGCAGACACATTTGAGACATTAAATAAGTGTAGTTTGTAAGTTTCCTCATCAGGTATAATTTGATCTCAGAAGAATTAGATGAGAAATATTTGAGACTTTGATGCAGAATTTAGAATCTTGGCAAATTTAAACATTTTGAGACATTCTTGAGATCTCTAGAAGAGACATGAGATTGGTACTGTAGGAGACAAATCTGAGAAATGGGAGACTAATTGCTGTTTTTATTTCATTGCTGTCTATGAGAGATGATTGAGATGATAAAGAGGTTTCATTTTGTGATTTTTCCTCATTAGAAACTCGATTTGGTCTCAGAACAATTAGAGGATATTTTGTGATTTGTCTTACGAGATGCTTGGGTAATATGGTCTCAGAAGGATCAGATGAGAATTATTTGAGTTCATAATGAAGAATCAGGCTTTTCAGTGCAGATTTTCGACGCAATGCAAATTAGTTTGAGGCAATGTTGAGATACTTGGAGGAGAAATATTTGTGTTTATATGGAAGAATCAGACTTATCAATACAGATTTTCAGAGTAATGCAAATTTGGACACAGACTGAGACATTGTTGAGATCTCTAGAGGAACGTGAGATCACTGGGGTCTTTTAAAAGAAAAATCTGAGAAGGAAGAGACCGTAATTGTTCCAATTGAATCTCATTGCTGTCTAAAACAATCGATTGCGATGTTAAAGAGATCTCACTTGTAAATCAGATGATACATATTTGAGTTTATATTAAAGAATCTGACTTTTCAAATCAACATATTTGAGATATTTAGAGGAGACCGGTCTTTTTAAGAGAAAATTCAGACAATTCCTTTTTAGGTGCTGTCTATAGAGAATAGAATGAGATGTTAAAGAGAATTCATTTGTTAGATGAGAAATATTTGAGTTTGTTTTGAAGAATCTGACTTTTCAATGTAGATTTTCAAAGCAATGCATATCTGAACACAATCGGAGACACTTGAGATATTATGAGGAAACCTGAGATCACTGCGTCTTTTCAGAAGAACAATCAGAGAAGCAGGAGACTGTGATTGCTCTTTCTTCAATCTCAGCTCTGTCTATGAGAATGGATTGAGATGTTCAGGAGATCTCATTGCTATTTTTCGTTCCTCTGGGATGTCCAGTCATCGCTACACCCCCGTGTTTACCGTGTGCTGTAGACTGAGACTGAAGCGCTTCTCTCCACTCAAAGCTTCACTCTCGCATTCATCCAGTGGTTTGTGTGGGATCCGGTCGCAGCATCATCATCCTCATCCTCATCACCAGCGCTCGCCATGGAAACCCGTCTTCCTCATTCAGTGATGTGATGTGCGCTCGCCGTTTGTCATCATCAGTATCGGCGGTGGCGGACGGAGCGGACAGACAGCAGCGGATTCTTCTCTAGAGGATGTACCGTGTTACCGGAGGGAAACGGCGGAGAGTCTTTCCGGGGGCCCTTCCGTGAGAAACGAACGAGACGCGGATTTTGGACTCGATCTGTGCGGTGAGTGAACCTGACACTAACGCTGACATGCTAAACATGCGCCAAAATGAATGACACACGCATGCATGCGCGAGAGAGCGCTTCACGCTGCTGTCAAACATGCATGCCAATTTCTGCTGCATCGGGTCTGACGCATTTTGCAGTTGTCTGTGAGCCAGGGGCCAAAGCTAGAGCTCCATTCAGTCTCGGTGCTCAAGTTATTCATTTAGTATGCGTTTATTTATTTTTTGGCATTCACATTTATGCAAGATTTGCTTGGGCATCTTCAATGAAATTTTTTTTACAAGGCTGTTTGCTCTTGTATTATATGTTAAAGTTATTTCATTCCATTGATTGACTTTGTATGCATGACAATTGGCGCACATCTCAGGTATTATGGCACTATAGTTAAACATGTAAACTTAGCGTCTTTTTGTCTGTAGTTTGTCTGAAATGCATCACGGTTAACTCTTTGAAGGGGTCATATGATGCGCTTTCATTTGTTCCTTTCTCTTTGGAGTGTCACAAGCTCTTGGTGCATAAAGAAGATCTGTAAATTTGCAAAGACTAAAGTCTCAAATCCAAAGAGATATTCTTTATAAAAGTTAAGAGTCAACCACACCTACCTAAAACGGCTCGTTCTAACACACCCCCCCATATCTACCTCACTATGTGGGAAGATTTGCATAACGCCGCCCAAATGTTCACGCAAAGAAAGAAGGCGTAACTTTTATTCTCGCTGTAGTATTGTTGTTGCCGCCGCCATGTCGTGAAGACGCTGTGTTTTTCGTTGTGAAAGCGAAACTCCTTTGTTTGGTCTTCCAAAAGAGGACGAAATCCGCTTCGTCATGCCTGGAGCTGATCCGTGCTGGTCGCTGAGGGAATACATCAACTTAGTGCTGTGGATCGCCGGCTCGGCTTTCACTGTTTCCCCCGCTCCTTCGCCGGGACCGCCGTTCTCGACCCCGCCGCCTCAGCTCACTCTTGCCCAGCTTCAGCTCACGCCAAGCCGGGGTTTTCGCTCACGCTAGGCCGCTGTGTTTTTCGTTGTGAAAGTGAAACTACTTTGTTTGGTCTTCCAAAAGAGGACGATATCCGCTTCGTCATGCCTATAGCTAATCTGTATAAGTATAAGTCATTATAATCAGTAATTATGTCCCCACTGGATGCAACAAATGCCTCGTTTGTAATGGGTTTTAATATTTATGTCTCGTCGCTCCGACTGGGACACGGATCACAGTATGTGAGGGGCATAACATTTCCGTCTCACGCTTGAGGTATTCGGCCAATCACAACGCACTGGACAGCTGGCCAATCACAGCACACCTCGCTTTTTCAGACCGATGAGCTTTGTAAAAATCGACGCGTTTCAAAAAGGCGGGCAATGATGAGAAACAATAATGTACAGTATGTGGAAAATAATGTGTTTTTTTTTACTTTAAACCGCATAAACACATTTCATTACACCAAATACACAAAATAATGTTCTTTTTAGCAGCATCATATGACCCCTTTAATGCCTGTGTAGTTACTGTAAGGGATGCTGAGATGTTTGTTGACATGGTTTTAAGGTAAACTGTCAGTCTACGTGAATATATTTATGATTTTTGACAACATATTAAATCTAATACACAATTGGGCTTCTTTGCTTTTCTTATATTTTCAGAGAATTAGTCCCATTTAATTTAACCTATCTCAATTAGTGCACATTCAAGATATAGATGTGTCATATAGGTGGACTGTAAAAAATGAATATGAGCAGCTGATTCTACATGAACTGACACTTAAAAATGACGTGGCTTAAGTTTCCAGGTTCTTTCAGACACATGTTTTACTTGAATGAAAACAGGCTATTTTGCATATGTATCTGTGTAATGTCTTGCTGTAGGTGTTTAGTATTTGTCTGCAGTGTCTGAAACGCATCATTAACTCTTTAAGTTAATTGTCTAAGGAGTTACTGTAAGAGAGACTGTTGTCATGGTATCACGGTAAACAGACAGTTCCTTTCATAAGATGTTAATTAACTTATTTTGTTGATACTGTAACTGTAAGAGATACTGATATTTGGTTGTCATGGTATCAAACTAAACATGTCCTTTGAGAAGGCAGAGATTCAGTGCATGGCAAGATATTGCTTGTCAAGGTACTTAAAAGGGTAGCTCACCCAAAAAGCGAAAATACTGTCATCATTTGCAGTACTCGTACTCAGCCTTTTTCTGTGGACAACAAAAGATTTTTATGCCACAATCCCCATCCATAGTGACCACGTCTGTTAAGCTTCAAAAATGTATAAAAGTGTCATAAACACACTCAAAAATACTGCGGCCTAAATCTAAGATTTTTGTATTTGAATTGCATTAAAATGTCAATTTATTTAGACTGTGCAATTTTATCATAAACAAATGTTATGTGATGCATATTTGTCAGTCTAATGAACTGAATGTGTTTTAAATACAACAAAGTTTATATCTATCATAGATAAATCCAATCTCCAATCCAGTATATGCCAGAGAAACAAGTGTGCAGCCATCTTTAAAATTTTATCTTTGAACTGCCATTTTTGTCAGTAGACTGGGAAGATTTTAAAATGAGCGGTTCATTCATAAATTCTTACGACCTTGCCTTTGCTGTGGAAATACAATCGGTAGACTACATGAAAGACAATGAGAGCTGTCCTGAAAGGAATATGCTAATTATGCTAATAAAACAAATATGCTAATTAGACCCCGCCCCCACTGTTTCTGCACATGGTTTGGTTTTTTTAAGCATATTGCAGCATATTAAACAACATTTAAAACTTGATTTTCACCACATTGGGTCCAAAATGGCGCACCTGAATGGTGATTTTCACTGAAGAACTACTTAAATTTCGGTCTATTATGTTGGAAAAATCTGTTTAAGGATTCTTAAACAATTCTCCTTTTGTTTTTCCACAGAAAAAACAACAACATACAGGTATGTAATGACATTAGGGTGAGTAAATAATGACAAAACTTTAATTTTTGTATGAACTATCCCTTTAAGCCACCGTTATATATTCTCTCGATCTCACAGACAAACAGAGCAATTTTGGCTCGTCTAAAAGGGCGTCTTTCACTGCTGGTTTAGGCTCGAGAGACACAAACCGCTCATAGATTCTCTTTTTGTCGCTAAACTGTAAGCAAAAAGCAGTCAGCGATTGATCGCGGTGTCCCACAGCTGCCTGATTTAACACGTATTTAGGACTTTTCTCCCCCTAGATGTTCCGTTCTGCGCTGGCGGGGCTCCAGCTGGCCTGGTGCGTGTCTGTGATTGGTTCTCTCTGCAGGTTTCTGATGGGTGAGCGGCCACGGTTGGACGGGACCTTCCTTAATTAAAAGCCCATTGTGTCGGTAGGGGGTTTGATTGATTGCGCTTTTGGGTGTTGTGGCAAATCTAAAGACCGTGTGGAGGGTGTCGCTCAGCTCTGCGAAGGGCTTGCGAGAATAAATCAGCATTTAAAACAAACACCGCCGTTCGTCTCAATTAGTGGAAGCGTGGTGGGTCATCGGCACAGTTTAGAAGAAGGTGGCCTCGGATCTGAGCACTGGTGTCTCACCGCCACACAACCATTAGACGACAGGCCCTTTTAATGAAACACTTTATATGTGTGATGTCAACAGGGATTTATCCTTTGGCTGTGATGCAGGATATGCCTCAAAACAGTGCTACCAGCATCCAAAATTAACCTTTTACACACCTGCCAATGGCATGTGGATGGAGAAATTTACTAGCCATAAATATATCTTGCAAGCATGACTTTATTGTGCATTATTTTTATTCAAATATACGTCTTGTGCTATTGACAATGGAGTTACTTGTAGACTAGTTATTCACGCACCAAGGCTGCATGTTTGATCAAATAATACAGTGAAAACAGTAATAATGTGAAATATTATTATCATGTAAAATGTGATTTATTCCTGTGATCAAAGCTGAATTTTCAGCATCATTAGCCTATTCCAGTCTTCAGTGTCCTTCAGAAATCATTCTAATATTCTGATTTGCTGCTCAAGAAACATTTCTGATTATTATCAGTGTTGTAAAGCAGTTGAAACCTTGATAAATTTTTTCAGGCTTCTTTTTATGAATGAAAGTTCAGAAGATCAGCATTTGAAATCTTTTATAACATTATACATGTCTTTGCTGTCACATTTGATCAATTTAATGCATATTTGCTGAATAAAATAATTAATTTCTTTCAAAAACAACAACCGTATACTGCCTCCAAACTTTTAGATAAACCTTTGATGATAAACTATCCACTTTGGTTAGAAGATGTGCGGGTTGCATCTAGATGTTCCGTTCTGCGCTGGCGGGGCTCCAGCTGGCCTGGTGCGTGTCTGTGATTGGTTCTCTCTGCAGGTTTCTGATGGGTGAGCGGCCACGGTTGGACGGGACCTTCCTTAATTAAAAGCCCATTGTGTCGGTAGGGGGTTTGATTGATTGCGCTTTTGGGTGTTGTGGCAAATCTAAAGACCGTGTGGAGGGTGTCGCTCAGCTCTGCGAAGGGCTTGCGAGAATAAATCAGCATTTAAAACAAACACCGCCGTTCGTCTCAATTAGTGGAAGCGTGGTGGGTCATCGGCACAGTTTAGAAGAAGGTGGCCTCGGATCTGAGCACTGGTGTCTCACCGCCACACAACCATTAGACGACAGGCCCTTTTAATGAAACACTTTATATGTGTGATGTCAACAGGGATTTATCCTTTGGCTGTGATGCAGGATATGCCTCAAAACAGTGCTACCAGCATCCAAAATTAACCTTTTACACACCTGCCAATGGCATGTGGATGGAGAAATTTACTAGCCATAAATATATCTTGCAAGCATGACTTTATTGTGCATTATTTTTATTCAAATATACGTCTTGTGCTATTGACAATGGAGTTACTTGTAGACTAGTTATTCACGCACCAAGGCTGCATGTTTGATCAAATAATACAGTGAAAACAGTAATAATGTGAAATATTATTATCATGTAAAATGTGATTTATTCCTGT